GCATTTTTGATGTTTAGCCACGACAAGCATTCGCCTTACTTTTAACCCTGCAGATAAAAGCAAATTTTTAAACTTGACCTAATGTTTGTAGTCGAACGTGTTTGTATGTACAAATAAGTCGCTTATTTCCGCACATAGAAAAATCCCAGTAATATAACCCTTTTCTTATATTCATAGAATGAACTAGCAATGGAACATTTTTCGTGTCACTTTGCCATTTCCCATCTCTTTGTTTAGAGCTGTGTAGTTTGATCGGAGCGCGTTTTGTTTTCTTGTACTTTTACTCTGGTATATGTAATGGCTAGACTTATAGCCAGCTTTCTTTCGCACAATTTCGTAACTGTCAGTGTGTGCTTCAAATCATGTTATTTCAGTTTCCTGAATCACTAAATAGCAGCTCGAAATGGGTAAAAAGGTCAAAATTGGAAAACAGCGTCGCGATAAATATTACAAATTGGCAAAAGAAGCTGGTAATTTTATGCTTTCATTTTCTCCTTTCTTTCAGAAGTCTTCACAATTTTTGTTTATTTTTGCATAAGTATCTTATAGGTTATCGTTCTCGAGCCGCATTCAAACTTATACAGCTCAACAAAAGATTTGAATTCTTGCAAAACTCTCGTGCCACTGTTGACTTATGCGCTGCTCCTGGAGGATGGATGCAGGTTGCTGCTCAAAATATGCCGGTGTCGAGCTTAGTGATTGGTTCGTTATTTTAAATTATTAACAGACTTACATTTTTGTTTAATCCAGGTGTGGATCTTGTGCCTATCAAGCCTATTCACAATTGCATCGCTCTGCAAGGAGATATCACAACGGAGAAAACTAGGCAAGCCATCAAGAAGGAGCTTCAACGTTGGGAGGTGAGTACAAATTCAAAAGAGAAGAATAACAAGGTAGCTGACTTTTTTAGGCGGATTGTGTTCTTCACGATGGTGCTCCAAACGTGGGTTTGAACTGGATTCATGATGCGTTCCAACAAAATTGTCTTGTTTTATCTGCGTTGAGACTGGCTACGCAGATCCTTAGGAAAAATGGAACTTTCGTGACAAAGGTTATCTTTCTTTCTTTTTCCATTTTTTCCCAAATTAGTTTTTGTAATTAATTCTTTAGGTTTTCCGTTCAAATGACTACTCCTCACTGATCACTGTGTTCGAGAAACTTTTCAGAAAAGTTCATGTATGGAAGCCAGCTGCTTCTCGTCTTGAATCCGCAGAGATTTTCGTTGTCTGTGAAAAGTATCTGAAACCTCCAAAGGTAAAGTTCTAGTAAAGCTCTGTACTTTTAGTTCTTTTTTCACTTAATTTGTGAGATCTATCGAACAAACTTACTTTGCCTTGACATCATTCATCGGTTCTCAAACCAATATTTTCCTTTGTCAGCGGTTTAAACTGCGTATAAACGAGACTCGAAGGTCTTTTCCATGGTGAAAAGTTTAATTTACGCAGCTGTTTGCTTAATCTCTCTTGTACTTCCAAATAAAACGCAACAACAGAACCATTTGACCCGATTTAGGTAGCTCCAGAACTGCTTGATCATAAGAAAGTTTTCTCTGAGCCAGATGGTAATGAAGCGCATAAGTCAAATCCGTAAGTTCTAGCATTGTCTTGAGTCTTCTTTTTTTTCCTTTTATGGTCCTTAATGTTTTAGTCAAACTCTCC